CCAGCCTGCACTTCGTTTTGAAATTCACCTCGCGATCCCCAACAAGGGAGAGTCTCAGCGCACAGGCAGTTCATCGCTGAGTTCAACGAGTCTATCCAGGTTAGCTGGATCATTCTCATTGCTCGGATTAGAAGACACACTGTCACAGAAACACGGATATCATAGTCTCCTGGCGTGGTTGACTGGTTCGTATGATAATCTGTAGTAAAGGAACATAAAGCTACTATAGAAGATACCATGACTATTTTGGGTTTCGTAAGTAATCCTTGTCCAGTTTGACAAGAGGCATGTTTCTAAGGGTGATTCTCATCCATTATCAGAGACAGATGGAAAGAGGAGAAAGTAGAAGAGGATCAGCTCTTGCGTGAAGAAGGTATTCACTTCAAGTGTATGGTCAGATGGCTGAACCTGAATATGATATAAGGACTTGCATTGCAGGAGGGAGTTGCCAAGTTTCTGGTTGATCACATAAAGAACTATCACTCTAGCTGGGATTGGAAATGGTCAGAGTAAATTCTACTGCGCATTATGGCATACACTGATTTGGATGGAAGGATACGAATAATCTTGTATGCGGTTTGGCCTGTTGGCCTATAATTGTTGTATGTATACATTATACGTACATATTGGCATACGTTGGAGATAAGTGATAATGATTTAGGGAAGTCATATTTGCAATTCACTATGTAAGTAGATGACTACTATCTTTTTCTAACAAAACTAGACAAACGCCACAAGACTCCATACAGATAACACTGGTCAGTAAATCCCGCAACAGCACGTCATCCACGCTCAAATCCTGATAGACGTCAGCCAAGGATGAGACCTAAAAAAGGCCTAGTATCCTTCAAGGCCCCCAAGCATCCAAGACAGACCACAGGCAAAGAGGGGGAGGGGGCGAGGGGGCGTTCATTCCAACCCAAGGACGACATGCCCGTGCAGTGGGCCTAGGCATTTGTCAAACTCTTGGAAGTCCCCACCATCAGCAAGAAATTGTAGCTGTGGGAGGTGGGACTAGAGCTGTCGCTGCCAGTTACTGTGTCACGCCACGGCTGATGAGGAAAGGTGGTGCCTAGCTTCGGATTTGTCTGACGAACCTTGTGCTATGCAATGCGGTGACGTGCCGTACCCCATATGATCGAGGCCCTCCCATGCCGAGACTAAGCAACCCACAGGGCGTTTTCTAGCGCTGTGTCTGAGACAGAAATGACAGGTGGACTCGCGCGTCTAGACTGAGATGGAGACCAGCTCTGTTCTAGGCTTTGAGGAGCTTGGTTGGGATGGACCATGTTCTGGTCTTGTGCTCCTCTTGTCTTCAGGATGTAAACTCCAAGACTACTAAGGTTTCGATGTTTTCAATAGAGCCTGCCTCTATTTTGGGAGAGGTGGCTGACTGTATTTTTCTTCCTTCTGTATCCTTGGCACGCTATTGAGACACCGAAGTATTGAGAGCCAAGACACATATCCAGTTGAGAAAAATCGTGTTCCCACGAGGCAAAAAAGACAAAACTCAATCTGAGGTCAGCTTTGTCTCGTGCGGAAGCATCTCCTGTAAACTCTCATGTTAAGCATCTTTGTGGTGAGACGGGCGACAACGCCCCCGACCACATGAACCTTGACTTCGTTTCTCTCCATTCTCCCGATTGATAAATCAGGGGCGGGTACTGCGTTAGTCGCAAGCGCCCCGAAAGGCGGACCTGATCAAAAAGCCTGTGCGTCCACTCGCCCACCAATGGACGGATTCGAAGACAAAGCCAGGGGTCAGGGCCATGATCCTAGGAACAGTGACAAAAAGGTCCTATTCCGGTGGGTATTCCGAGCCTCCGACTTGAAACAGGCTTCGTTCCCATGGTTCTGCAACTTTGGCGTCGTCGGCTAGACTCGCATCCATGGAATTGTGACATATCAGTGTATGGCGATGGCTAGATTTTCAATTAGTCAAAGGGGATTCAGTGAGACTTGTCGGCGGTATGCTGGACTTGCCCCTGTCCCGGACTAAATGATCCATGGTTCGATCTGCTCGATACCAGGAACTAGGTGTATGTTCTTTCTTTCGGCCGTGTCGGGCGGCTGTGTGTGAAAACGCCTCCATTGTGCTAGACAGCCACCACACTCCGTTTGTTTTCGGATTTTTCTTGTTTCTTTGTATTGGCGAGAATGGGATTCTCATCAAGTGTCAATAGGTATGAAGTGATTTGTCTTGGGTTCAAAAGTGGCCGTTTGTCCATACAAGCGGCCCAAAGACTGGGTACAACCACATGGATAGTTCCATGGAATGGAAAACCGCTCACAATGCGGTCCCGCCACAATGGCCAACGATATCAACGGTTTTTACTTAGCGAGGTACATGAACCAGACTAGAAGAGTCCATCGACCAATCGCGTTGCTTTTTTGACAAGCCAAAGTTTCCAGTCTTGTTTCTATTGCCCTCTTCGTTTGTTGATATCCACTGCGCCTCCAGTGGCGCACGAGGTACTGACGACGTCCTTCATCCAGCCGTCATAGTTCCAAGGATAGCAGACCTTCTCGTCACGATGGATATCCGAGACCACCGGTATGTGGGCATGACGGTGGCGGGGGTAGGATTTTGGTGTCGAGGAGAAACCTATATAGAGGGTGAAGATCTGCCTCTGGAGTCCTGATCTTATCCTCATCATCTCTTCAAGTGCATCTCTAGTCACTCTCTTTTCCTTTCAAACCTCACATTCCTTTTGACCTTTCGGTCCTTCCAATCTTTTTACTATCAAACCCACATCGCTCGACGCGACTTACCACCTTCCTTTCCACAATGCAGTTCACCAAGTCTCTGATGCTGCTGGCAGCCCTCACACCGGCTCCCTTGCCCGCCCGCTAAGGCCACGAGAGACGCCAGGTCTCGTCCACCCCCTGCCGCGTCGAGCTCCTCTTCCGGCGGCGGGACCTACTCCACGATGGGTTCGAGCCAGCACTGCCAACAGCGGCGACGACATCCCTTACAAGGCAACACGGGTGACCCCTGGGGTAGCAACATCATCGAGATCTCCACGGCGACGCCGACCAGTGACAGTACGTCGCGGAGATCTCGGGCGATCTGACCGAGAGCTGGAGCCTCGTGTTCTGGAACAAGTACGGCCCCAGCGGGCAGATGGACGGCTTCTTCGGCCACCACGCCCTGACGCTGACCGTCAACCCGGGCGGAGACAAGTACGTCGCCTTCCAGCCCGACACAACGGAGCTTGTGCGGCCCGGGAGCGTGCCCACCGACGGCAGGGCGAGTTCGCGTCCACCTGGGGTGAGTCGACTTTGGCAGCAACGGCAACTCGGGCTGGTCCGCTTCGACGTCTCCGCCATTGTCGCCCCAGAACGCCGGTATGGAGGTCCAGGGCATGAAGATCTGCGACCAGAGCAGCGGCACCTGCTCCGTCGCTCACTCCCGACGCTGCCTCCGTCGACAATGCCTACACCACCGCCGAGACCGACATGGCGGTATCGGTGAAACATCTCCGCAGCGGCCCTGTCCGTCTGGTCGTTACCCTCAACTACCAGGGCTAAATTTTTCTGTTCTTGTCTTATACTATAGACTCTGTGGTTAGATTTGTTTTAGATACCTGTTTTCAATAGACTATACTGGGATGCATGGGTGCATCATCAAAAGTTTATGTCCCACATATGTGCGAAACTGTAGATCTGTAGACCTGCTGATTTTCAGTTGAAGAAGTGTAGTGTCTGAGATGCAGATCGCAGGTATAGGAGCCAGTCACGTGACTGTCCTACGACCAACGATCAATGCTGTATGGTAATTATACACTAATTACCAAAGTTACCGATAGCACGGATCTCACTACACCACGGCGGTCAATACTATAGTACAGTTGTACCGCAAGTAGTAAAGAAAATACTCAACTTTGTTCTACTAAATCTCAAATGTCCTGGTATATAGTTTTTTGAAAAAAAAATGTGAGTATACACCTTGACCTTGATATCCTTACGATTCTACCAAGCACATAGATATCAAGAGTACTACAATGGACGTGGAAGAAACAGAAACTGTGGTAATAATAAAAATAATAAAATACAGATCGGTATTGTCTACATGGTCGATCCGGCCCGCCGTAAATCCGCATCGTCATCGCTCCGTCGCGTCCTCCGCATTTCTCCATTGATTGACTGCATTGATTCACTGCCTTTGATTGCAATCACCGACGGCTCCTTGCAGAAGGATTTTAGGCTTGTCCACTTGGCAATTGGTCTTTCACTTGGGGTGTTCTTGGTTATATTTCACCTTTCTTCATCTGGCATTGCTCTCTCCACCCTCATTCCTCATCCCGCTGCCAGATTGATCTGCTTCCAGTCAGTATATCGGAGTGGAATAAACACACTAGCTATCAGTCATCATGGAAGACCAGGACGTCTCCCAGTCCATTAGCGCAGGTATGACAGAAACAGTGGTCTGGGAAAGGAATACAGACTAACCTCGCCAGACGAGATCGCCCTCTACGATCGTCAAATTCGCCTCTGGGGTGTGCAAGCCCAGGAAAAGTACGTCGCATTCCCCACTATCGCAGTATAGAGCTGACTCTACGACAGGATTCGATCTGCCAATATCCTCCTCATCACCTTCAAAGCGTTGGCGAACGAAGTCGCAAAGAACCTGGTCCTGGCTGGCATCGGCACCCTAACAATCATTGACCATGAGACCGTCAAAGAGGAGGATCTGGGAGCGCAGTTTTTCATCAGTGAGGAGAGCCTTGGGCAAAATGTATGTTCCTTGCGGCACTGGTTTCGCGTATCGGTACACTGACTGCTGGCAGCGCGCTCAAGCAGCAGAGCCCTCTGTCCACGCCATGAACCCGCGGGTAAAACTCCACATCGACACGGAGGACGTGCGCGCGAAACAACCGGAATTCTTCTCACAATTCGACGTGATCATCGCAACGGAACTCGACTTTGCGACCTACACGACCATAAACGCCGCCTGTCGCATCGCCCAGCGTCCCTTCTACGCAGCGGGGCTGCACGGCTTCTACGGCTTCATCTTCGCCGATCTCATCTCGCACGACTTTGTCATCGAACGAGCCAAATCCAACGTCGTATCAGCCACGCGCGAAACCCCCACACGGAGCATCGTCAACGTGACGACCAAAAAGGAAAATGACAAGGTCATCGAAATGGTCACCAAGCGCGAGACCTACTCCCCGCTCCTCCTCGCCAACACCTCCCCCCTCCCGGAAGACTTCACCCGTCTCCCCCGCCGCCGACGACAAGTAACGCCACTCCTCACCTGCCTGCGCGCCCTCTGGGAATTCCAAAAGCTCTCCGGCGGCGCCCTCCCGACCTTCAACGCGCAGGATCTCGAAACCTTCACCAAGCTCGCCCGTGACGCGCACCACGAGCTCCAACTCGACATCGCCACGCTCGACTCCGCCTTCCTGCGCACCTTCCTCCAAAACCTCGGCAGCGAGCTCAGCTCCGTCGCGACCTTCATCGGCGGCAAACTCGCCCAAGACGTCATCAACGTGCTCAGCGCCCGCGAACAACCCATCCAGAACCTCCTCCTCTTCGACGGCGACAAGACCGTCTCTCCCATCTACCCGCTCCATCCTTTCTTCCCATCCAGCATGCCCAACGACCTCGCTGCCGTGCCACCCGCCGCGAACGCAATCTCCCTCGACGACCCTACCCCGCCATCGACGACCACCGTACCCGTCACGCTCCCCATACACGAGAATGCCGAAAACACGAACAACCAAACTGGGAATGGAAACGGACAGGAGAATACCATGTGAGGGACGGCAGAAAACAGAACTAGGAAACTAGGGGCAGGAAAGATATTCACGAAGTGTACGATAGATAGATAGACATGAATCACAGGATTGGGATACCTTTCGACACCATCATCATCATCATTCTCGGACGAACCATACGATGGCCAGTCCTGTATGTGATCGGCGATGTCAATAAACTGAAACCGTCTTGTTGGATTCACACGAATAGCCGTATCTGTACTCATGCCCGCAATATATTTCTACAAACAGGGCGTCTTAAATGGACAATATGATAAAGAGAAGTCTAGTTATTCGAAATCAATATGATATTCTATTCTAACTCCAGTCCCAGCAAATAAATACAGACGCCCCTCCATGAATAAACAGATCAATCAATCGAGTGATCAAAGAAAACAATAGGCAGAACAGTCCATTCGGAGTGCATGCTGTTCTTGAAGAAGCCTCTGAGGTTCAGATCATGAAAAGTAACCAGGTGAAAGAGAAATAAAATGAAGAAGAGAAGATGCATTGGCTTTATGCGATCGCCACCAAATCAACGCGACGTCTCTTTCCCAACCAAACGGCGAGTCGTCGCGTCTTCAGATTTCCGGCACGTCGGCTGTCGGTCGATACTTTGTGCCATCTTCCTCGTCCGAGATCAGACCTCAGTCGAAGGCTTCCGCGTCGTGCAGCTTGCTGCGCTTCGCGGCGGAGGCGGCGGGCCGTTGGGATGGTGGACAACGGCGCCGCCCAGGCGGGGTTAGCTGTCGGGGTTTTCGGCCTCGTCGACGAAACCGTCGTAGCGGGTGCGAGCGGGCTGGGTGGATTCGGGCCAGGCGTGGACGGCGTAGATGTGGATAAGGACGTTGACGACTGCGATTGTTAGGGGGTTATTACACAGGGGATTCGGGTGTAGACTTACACAGGAACAGGAGGAATGCAATGCTGTACAAGATGAGGATATAGGACACGTGCATGACCCCGGCCTGGTCGAGAAGTTGCATCTTCCGTGGCACCCATGAAGAGGAAACCAGAGGCGTACAGAAGCTGCGACAGTTAGCGTTGTGACCCCACGGCGACATGATCAGACACTTACAAATGGTGTCACGAATTGGAAACTGTGCGGGTTCGAGCCGTTGGGACTTAGGGTGGGCTTGTCCTTTAGGACAAACGAGATCTCGACGATTCTGGCCGCACCAGCCGCCATCAGCGTGTAGCCGAAGATGGAGTGGACCATGGTGCTGATCATCAGGTGCTGCGTGTGCGCGGACATGGCATAACCGGTCAAGAGGATGACAATGGCGGGCATCAGGTTACGCTTGGGGCCACCGTCCCGGTTGCGACTCAGCCAGATACCTAGGAGACCCGCGCACCACCAGACAATGCCCATGGTGGTATGCTGCAGGTCATTGTGGACCCAAGGGCCGCCCCATCGGTGCTCGGTAAAGGTGTTGACGCACCCCCAGGCGGCGATGATCAACGAGTCGAAGAATTCCTGGCTCCGGCCCGTGCGACGCAGCCAGTACTGGCCCACCAGGAGGAGGATGGTGAGCAGGATTCCGTACGCGATGAATGCGCTACCCATGATGAAGTGGGCCAAACACTGTCCCATATGGTCATCCTGGCAGAAACCCAGCGCCGCGATCCCCCCAAACACCATCTGGACCCAAGCGACCACCGGCATCGCCTTTCCGAGCACCCCGTGCGCAACGACGAAAACGCGGCGGATGCGTCCGTGGATGCCTTTCGTGATGTGGAGTTTGAGGTAGAGGCCGAAGACGACTTGCACGGCCATCATGAGCATCAGGACGTTTGCGAAAGAATGATGGGCGTTCTTCCCGAACTGGCGGCCTTTATGGGCGTGACCGAGGAAATAGGCGACGACGGCGATACAGGTAGCGACAATCTGAACAGGAACGTGCCACCGCGAGCGCACGATCTATATCGGGGACGCAAGGAGTGTCAACCACCACTGTTCCCCAGAACTCCACCAAGTGTCCGGGCTTCCTAGGAAAGAAACTTACCCCGAGAACCATGCCCAGCGGAAAAAGGATGCCAAAGGCAAATCCCATCAGAATGATATGAATCCATAACGTCGAGTCCTAGGGTGGAGTCAGTCAAGTGCGACCATCGAGCGAGTCCGCCGCGACAGGGTGGGACACGTACGATCGGCTCCAAGGAGATGGCTTCGCCTTCGGGGACGTTTTCGTGGCCTCCATGGGCCAGGGCGGTGAAACGAGGAGGAGTGCCGGTAGCACTCCTCGCAAGAAGAGTTGACTCATGATTCGTCTTCGCGAAAGGAGCAGTTGGCGTGCGAAGGAGTCTGATGGAAGAGATAGAAAAGGAGGGAGAGGAAGGATAAGTAAAGTTCCAAGAAGGAGTGCAACGGCGTACGTACTTCCTTACTAACTGACGGAGGGATCGCCCGGAGTTCATTCAAGCGCGGACGGATTGGCGGGAAAAGTGGGTCACCTGATCGCCTTGTATCAACCGTAC